GACTGGAGAGTACCAGATATCAATCATTCCAGCTTCACCAGGTAGATGATTGGTTTCATTTTCATGCCACCTGTCACTGTGTTTGGGAATTCGGATTTGACTTTGGTTTGCTTCACAGTCTGCACATGGGCTCATCATTCGGCTGTCGCCTGGTTTTAGATCGAAACCTAGTGTGGTGCCTGCTTCAATGTCGCTTTCTATCTGTTGCCAGGATCTGTGTGTTGTCTTGTGGTAAAGGTCCACTGCGAACTTGGAATCGGCATATTCCTTAGACGTTGGGGATGGACATGGGCGCCATCCTGAAGTAGGCGCTTTGGGTGCATGCTTCTTCTTGCGGTGTTTCCTGCTGTCTGAGATGTTATCCCTTACGTCAGAAGAAGATAGTTCAGTATGAGCACCCAAACACATCAGTGGTCGAGCATGTATATGTAGGAAAGCGGACAGGCTGTGTGTTGACATATCACCTCCGAGTATGTGTGTACATACAGTGAGGTACACTGCTGTGAGCATAAACCTAGGAATTGCATTTGAAATCATTTTCCTGGCAGTCTCTTCATCCATCGACTGTAGGCGTTGTAGACAATCGGGAGTAAACGATGATGCCCTGGCAGCCTCCACTGTGGTGAAATATCTATGGACAGGCGCGTTAGGGCTTTCATGCCTGTGAGTGACATCAATGATTACATTCATGTCACTGGTGATGGTGGGTGCCGGACCAGATGTGAGATAACCTGTAGTACCCTTCTTCTTGTTTAAGTACGGATCGCCAGTGTGAAAACGGCTATGGCTATGACAAAGAGTTGCCCTGACGTGTGAACGCAGGTAGTTCATAGCATCCTCAAATAGGATTTCTCCCCCGGGTGCAAGGCGCGCGCTCCGCGGCCTTGCATTCATTGCGTCGACTACCTGCTGGCGAGAGACAGAAGACGAAGAGTGGGAGAGGCTACAGGCGAAGTATATTCCCTGATCGCCAGTACGGGCGCCAAAATACACATCGCATTGGGGAGGGTCGCGCTGATACAGCAGCTGGAAGCTGCAGCGAAGCGACACAGAGGCCCCGGGGAATTGGCGCAGTAATAATGAGT